CAGTGTTATTTTTAATGATTTTTAACATTCAAAATAATTGACAAAAATTATTTCGCATTCTAGAGCCAAAACTAAGAGTAATAGTGGGAGTTACAGTTCTAATAGAAGTAAGTTTTACATATTAGAGCTGTCAAACAATGAAATAGATTGTCTTTGAAGTCATGTGTTGGATGACATGGGAGATATACAACAGACTGGATGATTGCTTCTTAGTGATGCTGGAGAGGAGGTTTGTGCATCAGAGAAGAGGTATAAGTAAATGACCTTTTTGGGTCTTTCTGATTCAATGACTTCACAATTTGGCTCTAAGCCCTCTTTCCAATATTATATCTTATTGTTTCCTCCTACAAATCCTCTGCCTCAGACACCCAAGCGCAATCATAAACACTTAAGAAGTTTCATGCTTTCTCACCATTTGAATTTTCTGCAACTCTCTCCACTTTGTCTTTATCTTAATAGAATAGGCCAAACATTTTGAAAGTATAAATCTTGTTAAAAGTTATAAAGCTTAATTCCCATGTATAGTAATATTAGGACTTGATTTTTCATAACTATGCTATGCTTGAACCTGAAATATTTAAATGAATGTATATGAAGGATGAAAAGATGAGTTACCTCTCCACCCATACATACTCATTTAGAAAGGGATAAATAATCTGTGTGGGCTAAATTATATTTGAATTAGTAAAAATATCTCTCATCTTTTAGATTTTTTACTCATATGACAATTCACCTCTGAAGATGTGTAGGCTTCAACATTAAAATTAAATAAGATAAATAAAAGGATGTCTTTATACAATGTTTCACCAAAAATATGCCTGTTAATACTTCCTATGCAGGAAAGATTTCTGGGGGAAATGAAGGCAAGGGAATGAGCTGCTGGGCATTAGTTGGCCATAGTTTTACATATTTGGCATCAGAATCCTTTAAACCATGCTTGCTGGGAAGCACAGTTTGGAAACTTAGAGTTGCTTTAATTAAGGAGGTGGTGGGAGAAAAAAAGACCCTGTCTGGAAGACTAAGAAGATAATGAGAGTGCTCTTCAGAGCTGTGCCAAAGAGGTTGACAATATTGTTTTGCCCTGAGAATCAGGACCATTTTCCTGGCCCAAGGGTAACATGGGCTTGTTCTTACAGTCATTCAGAAGGGCAAATGAGAAGTTTTGTGTGTGTCTATGAGCTAGATAATCATTTTCAACTGGTTTTGTGTATTATAACATCATTTTGTGACACACTTGAGACTCTACATTGGCTTCTCAATGTGGATTTCAAAACCCCTAAATTATGACCCACAATCTTGATTTCCTAATATTTTATACGAACTCACATCAATTTTTGCTAATACTTTATCATGCAGGGCCTTAGGATTTCCTGGGGAAAAGTATTAGTGCTAAAATATGTATTTTTCTATTGGAAATAATAAAACAATTCCAAGGTCTTTCCCTTTTTCCATAAAATTACAAGGGAAACCCACTTAGAAAATTTAGAGTGTATTGAAGAATTCTCCTGAGCATACGTGACATAAAATTAAACAATACTTAGGTAGAAAACTGTTTTGAGATTACTGTCAGGACACAATTTTTCTGTTATTTAATGAAAAAGATGACTTGCTATGGTTTCTTAATCTGCTTAAATATGTTTCATTTGGTCACATTAATATTTGTACAGTTATTTTTCTATTACTCATGAAACACCAAAAACACTAAGCAATAATTGCACATGAGTTTTCTTTTATGAGCATGCATTTCCCCTGACAGGTCTTAGGAATTCACATATGATATTCTCAGAAACTTTCTTTTTTGAGATGGAGTTTCACTCTTGTCGCCCAGGCTGGAGTGCAATGGTGCGGTCTCAGCTCACTGCAACCTTTGCCTCCTGGGTTCAAGTGATTCTGCTGCCTCAGCCTCCACAGTAGTTGGGATTACAAGTGCCCTCCACCACGCCTGGCTAATTCTTGTTTTTAGTACAGATGGGGTTTTACCATGTTGGCCAGGCTTGGTCTTGAACACCTAACCTCAGGTGATCCACCGTCCTCAGCCTCTCAAAATGCTAGAATTACAGGTGTTATCCACTGCACCTGGCCCAAAACTTTTTATGATATATTAATAATATGTTTGACAAAGCAAATACTTTCAGTGTAATTATTCACATTGACTGAAAGATTCCTTTCCTACAGCCTTCTGTCTTATTGCTCACTTAGATGATACATTAAAAATCATTTAGATATATAGATGACAAGGCATGAATGTGGTATGGTTCTAGGAGCATAAGGTGTGTATTTGAACCTTTCCGTTACTCAAGGACTACTTTTATGCCTCCATCTGTAACTCATGGGAGAAATAGGGACCTTGTACAGAGATTTAGTACCTTCCTTTACTCATAGCTTGTATACAACTCACCATGACGGTGATGTGTTTAGCCTGTGAACCTGTATAACAGAATTCAACCGGCAAAAATATAATTTCATTGCACATTAAAAAGCAAACATTGCAGCCACAGAAAAGAACGAGATCATGTATTCTGCAGGTACATGGACGGAGCTGGAAGCTATTATCCTCAGCAAACTACTATAGGAACAGAAAACCAATTACCACATATTCTCACTTATAAGTGGGAGCTAACTGGTGAGAGCTCATGAACACAAAGAAGGAAACAACAGACGCTGGGGCTTACTTCAGGGCAGAGGGTGGGAGGAGGGTGAAGAGCAGAAAAGTTAACTATTGGGTACTGGGCTTAATTCCTGGGTGATAAAAAACTTTGCATAACGAACCCCATGACATGAGTTTTCCTATGTAACAAACCTTAACATGTACCTCCAAACCTAAAATGTTAAGAAAACAACCAAAAAACACCCCAAAACAAATCTTTGCCCCCCAAACCAAACAAAAACCCCTACTGTTTTATCTAAATGATTACATGCAGTCCTTTCTTAACATTTTTAAAACATTTTGTTATATTTATAGAACAATAAAATCATTTCCACTTGAGCTAAGAACAAAAATCTGTTAATTCATTATATTATTAGAATAAGCAAATTAATTACTGCCAACATCAAATTCATTTTAATTTCTATGACTATCCTATAGAGTTCTACACATAGAGGTGGAATTACACAATGAAAACGTGCTTTACTCTTTTTATTTCCTCCTCACAGCATGTTCTGCTTTAACGATATACTGAGGGAATCAAATATATGGAGTTTTATTCTAGTATCAAGTGAGATTTAAAAATACATGCAAAAATATTTGATAAATGCTTTTTTCTCATGTATGCATTTAGAAAACATAGTTTTATGTATGTGTGTGTGTGTGTGTGTGTATATATATATATATATATATATATATATATATTCTGTCAACAAATCCTCTTAAATAAGTAAAACAAAGCATATTGTAACAAAATATTTTGGTCAAAACTCTAAACAGTATATAGACTTCAAAATAACTCACTCAAAATTCATGAGATTTAGATTTCATGCTTAACTTATCAGAAGGAAACACATCCAAAATAGAAGTGAGTTGACTCTATAACTTCTACTCAGTGGCTCCGTCTACATAATTGTGAAGTAAAACAAACAAAAAACAAAATCTAGAACTGAAATTGGTTCTTAGTCATTATGTCTAGTTATGACAAATTGAGAGAATATGAGATGATTTTCTCCTCTGGAAACCAGGCATTCAAAGAGTTCCAATGACTCAGGATGGGAGTGTACCAAAGAGAAAAGAGGAAAAAAGGAAGCATTGATGCAAGAAGATACAATTCATCAATTCATAACCACACCCTGAACTCCATTACCATAGCATTACAGCCATGATCTCTTTCAGTCTTCTCTCTGCCACTATTGCCCTTGGTACTTAGTTTAATAGATTTTATCTCTTTAGGATGGTGGTGATGAGGAGGGGTATTAAATCACTATGATTTGCTGTGGATTTCCCTAGGAAGGGCCCCAGGGTTCTGCCATGTAAGGGTAACAACTCTTATGTGAGTGTATCTCTTTGTACACAAACACTGCGATAATTTAATGTTATAAATTTCTCAACCTGGTATTATTTCCCTTTGATTATTTTAGGTTGCATCTATATCATGAGAAAGATTTGGGGAAGGTGTGAAAACTTTATTCCAAATCTTAGCTACTCTATAAATGTCTTCCACTTCATAAAGGTTATCTGAAAGAGAAGCAAGGGCAACTCTGAAAAATTCTTCAATTTTAGGTTTGGTCAAACCAACAATAAGTACAAAGAAAAGGCTTCATCTGAGTAACTGATACTTCCAAGACTTGGCCAATTGCAATCTTCTATAGATTATATAATTTACTAGTTAGATTAAAAATTATGGCAGGAGAAAATTCTAGGATGCTTTGGATACCTATCTATGAATACAAAAACATGGTGTATAATTCCACCCTTGTTAAAGCATTATAACACTGGCTTTTAACTCTCTACTGAATTAGGACCAGGTACACTGGTACAGCTCAGCAAAATCGAAGATTGGAAATAATTTGAAATTTCAGAGTCATTGTCACCTTGCCCATTTCACCTGGCTAATTACTTCCTCTCTATTCATACAACCCAAAGAATATATATTCACATTACTGGGAAAAAGAAACTCTCCCTATATTTATATAATGGAGTGATTTTTGTCCTTCTAATTAACCAGCATGAGTCAAATGTTTAAAAGGTTTCAGAAGAAACTGTGCCTTCAATTAACATTCACAGTTTCTAAATTAATCACTGCTGACCTTAACATGCAGGATGTCTTAAAGACATGTTTCAAATAAAAAGATGATAATTTTATTCAGAGAAATCTACTAACTACCTATGTTTCAGAAGCATTTGGTCATTGTTTTTCTCCTATCACTGCATAAGGAGTCCTAGAATTTGGAGCATTAGTTAATCACATCTCTGAATAAAGGCCCTACACATGACCTTGAACACGATAACCATATTGTATTCAATATAAAAATTAATAATGACTCATCATACACTTGGAAAATTCCATACCATGCTCGCTTCAGCAGCATATATACTAAAATTAGAAAGATACAGAGAGGATTAGCATGGTCCCTGTGCAAGAATAACACACAAATTCATGAAGCACTTCATATTTTTCAATAAATGTTCACATCAATGAGTTAGAAAGATCTCAAATTAACAACCTAACATCACAACTAAAAGAACTAGAGAAGCCAGAGCAAACCAACCCCAAAACTAGCAGAAGACAAGAAATAACCAAAATCAGAGCTGAACTGAAGGAGAATGAGACAAAGAGAACCATTCAAAAGATCAAGGAATCCAGGAGCTGTTTTTTTTTTTGTTTGTTGTTGTTGTTTTTTTTAATATTAATACAAAAGACTGCTGGCTAGACTAATAAAGGAATAAAAGAGAGAAGATCCAAATAAACACAATTAGAGACGACAAAGAGGATGTTACCACTGACCTCACAGACATACAAACAACCATCAGATACTACTCTCAACACCTCCATGCACACGAACCAGAAAATCTAGAAGAAATGGATACATTCCCGGACACATACACTCTCCCAAGACTGAACCAAGAAAAAATTGAAGCCCTGAACAGACCAATAACAAACTTCAAAATTGAATCAGTAATAAACAGCCTACAAACCAAAAACAAACAAACAAATAAACAAAAAAACCAGGACAGGAAGGATTCACAGCTGAATTCTTCTACCAGATGTACAAAGAGCTGGCACTATTCCTACTGAAACTATTGCAAAAAATTGATAAGCAGGGAATCCTCCCCAAATTATTCTGTGAGTCCAGCATCATCCTGATACCAAAACCTGGCAGAGAGACAATAAAAAGAGAAAACTTCAGGCCAATATCCTTGCTGAACATAGAGGCAAAAATCTTCAACAAAATACTGGCAAACCCAACCCAGCAGCACATCAAAAAGCTAACCCACCACAATCAGGTAGGCTTTATCCCTGGGATGCAAGGCTGGTTTGACAAACACAAATCAATAAATGTGATTCATCACATAAACCAAACTAAAGACAAAAATGACATGATTACCTCAATAGATGCAGACAAGGGTTTTGGTAAAACTCAACATCCTTTCATGTTAAAGACTTTCAATAAAATTAGGTATTGAAGGAACATACCTAAAAATAATAAGAGCCGTCTAGGACAAACCCACAGCCAACATCATACTGAACAGGCAAAAGCTGGAAGTATTCCCCTTGAAAACTAGCACAAGACAAGGATGCCCTTTCTTGCCATTCCTATTCAACACAGTATTGGAAGTCCTCACCAGAGCAATCAGGCAAGAGAAAGAAATAAAGGTCAAAGATACAGGAAGAGAGGAAGTCAGACTATCCCTGTTCGCAGACAACATGATTCTGTATCTAAAAAAATTTCCATAGTCTTGGCTCAAAAGCTCCTTGAGCAGGTAAACAACTTCAGCAAAGTTACAGCATACAAAATTGATATGCAAAAATCATTAACATTTCTATACACCAACAACAGCTAACCTGAGAGACAAATCAGGAACACAATCCCATTCACAACTGCCACAAAACAAATAAAATACTTAACAATTCAGCTAACCAGGGAGGTAAAAGATCTCTACAATGAGAATTACAAAACAAATCAGAGATGACACAAACAAATAGAAAAACATTCCATGCTCATGGATTGGAAAAATCAATATCATTAAAATGCCACACTGCCTAAAGCAATTTACAGATACAATGCTATTCCTATCAACCTACCAATGACATTTTTTACAGAACTAGAAAAACTATTTTTAAATGAATACGGACCCAAAAAAGAGCCTGAATAGCCAAGGCGATCTTAAGTAAAAACAGCAAATCAGGGAGCCTCATACTACTCTACTTCAAACTATAGTACAGGGCTACAGCAACCAAAACAGCATGGTACTGACACTAACACAGACACATAGGCCAAGGGAACAGAACAGAGAGCCCCAAAAATAGGGCTGCACACTTACAACTATCTGATCTCCCATAAAGCTGACAAAAACAAGCAATGGGGAAAGAATATATGGTGCTGGGATAACTGGCTAGCCATATGCAGAAGACTGAAGCTGGATCTCTTCCTTACACCATATACAAAAATCAACTCAAGATGGATTTAAGACTTACATGTAAAACCCAAAACTATAAACAGCTTGGATGAAAACTTAGGAAATACCATTCTGGACATAGGAACTGGCAAAAATTTCATGACAAAGATGCCAAAAGCAATTGCAACAAAAGCAAAACTGGACAAATGGGATTTAATTAAACTAAATAACTTCCACACAGCAAAAGAAACTATCGAGAGAGTCAAAAGACAACCTATACAGAATTGGAGAAAAATTTTGCAAACTATGCATTAGACAAAGATCTAATATCCAGCATCCATAAGGAACTTAAATTTACAAGCCAAAACAAACCCCATTTAAAGTGGGCAAAGGACATGAACAGATACTTTTCAAAAGAAGGCATGCTTGTGGTCAACAATCATATGAAAAAAAGCACAACATCCTTGTAGTATAGTTTGAAGTCAGGTAGCATGATGCCTCCAGCTTTGTTCTTTCTGCTTAGGATTGTCTTGGCTATATGGGCTCTTTTTAGGTTCCATATAAAATTTAAAGTAGTTTTTCCTAATTCTGTGAAGAAAGTCAATGGTAGCTTGATGAGGATAGCATTGAATTTATAAATTAACTTGGGCGGTATGGCCATTTTCATGATATTGATTCTTCCTATACATGAGCATGGAATGTTTTTCCATTTGTTTGTGTCCTCTCTTATTTTCTTGAGCAGTGGTGTAGTTCTCCTTGAAGAGGTCCTTCACGTCCCTTGTAAGTTCTATTCCTAGGTATTTTATTATCTTTGTAGCAAAGGGCTATTATCCAGAATCTACAAGAAACTTAAACAAATTTACAAGAAAACAACCCCATCAAAAAGTAGGTGAAGGATATGAACGGACACTTATTCAAAGAAGACATTATGTATCCAACAAGCATATGAGAAAAAGCTCATCATCACTGGTCATTAGAGAAATGCAAATTAAAACTACAATGAGATATTATCTCACGCCAGTTAGAATGGCACTCATGAAAAAGCTAGGAAACAACAGATGCTGGAGAGGATGTGTAGAAGTAGGAATGCTTTTACACTGTTGGTGGGAGTGTAAATTAGTTCAGCCGTGTGGGAGACAGTGTGGTGATTCCTCAAAGATCTAGAACCAGAAATACTGTTTGATCTGGCAATCCCATTACTGGGTATATACCCAAAGGATTATAAATCATTCTGCTATAAAGACACATGCACACCTATGTTTACCACAGCACTATTCACAACAGCAGAGACTTGGAACCAACCCAAATGCCCATCAATGATAGACTGGATAAAGAAAATGTGGCACATACATACCATGGAATACTATGCAGCCATAAAAAAGGATGAGTTCATGTCCTTTGCAGGGACATGGATGAAGCTGTAAACCATCATCCTCAGCAAACCAACACAGGAACAGAAAACTAAACACTGCATGTTCTCACTCATAAGAGGGAGCTGATCTATGAGAATACTTGGACACAGGGAGGGGAACATCACACAGCAGGGTCCGTCAGGGGTTGGGGGACTAGGGGAAGGATAGCATTAGGAGAAATACCTAATGTAGATGATGGGTTGATGGGTGCAGCAACCAATGCACATGTATACTTATGGAACAAGCCTACATGTTCTGCACATGTATCCCAGAACTTAAAAGCACAACATCACTGATCATTAGAGAAATGCAAATCAAAACCGCAATGAGATACCACCTCACGCTAGTCAGAATGGCAATTATCAAAAAGACAAAAAATAATAGATGCTGGCAAGGTTGTGGAAAAAAACAGAATGCTTATACACCATTGGTGGAAGTGTAAATTACTTCAGCCATTGTGGAAAGCAGTATGGCAGTTCCTCAAAATGCTGAAAACAAACCTACCATTTGACCCAGCAATCCCATTACTGGGTCTATACCCAAAGGAATATAAATTGTTTTAGCATAAAGACATGCATGTGTATGTTCACTGCAGCACTATTCACTATAGCAAAGACGTGGAAGCAACCTAAACGCCCATCCATGGTAGACTGGATAAAAATAATGTACATATACACCATGGAATTCTATGCTGCCGTGAAAAAGAATGAGATTGTCTTTTGCAGGAACATGGATGGAGTTGGAGGCCATTATCCCAAGCAAACTGATGTAGGAACAGAAAACCAAATACCACATATTCTTACTTATAAGTGGGAGCTAAATGATGAGAACACACGGATACAAAAAAGGGGGAAACAGACACTGGGGTCTACTTGAGGGTAGTGTGTAGGAGGAGGGAGATGATCAGAAAAAATAACTAATGGGTACTAAGTTTAGTACCTGAGTGATGAAATAATCTGTACACCAAAACCCCATACCCCTGAACGTAAAAATAGAAGTTAAACCATCATAAATATTTAGAAAACTCATTCAAATATAATTATATATTGATTCATGTTCAGTAAATATCTAAGAGCACTTAATATGTACAGGTATTACTGTGCTGGAAATACAATGAACAAAAGAGACAAAAATTCCTGCGTCTGTGAAATTTATATTCAGGTGAGCTATACACAACAAAAGTATAAGGAAGTACTGTACACATTCACCCTTCTTATCCATAGGGGATTGGTTTCAGGACTTTCCATGCAGCCCCAAATAAGAAGATGTTCAAGTTCCTTGTATGAAATGGTCTAATATTTGCATGTAAACTACACACATGTTCTCATTTAAATAATATCTAGATTATTTATAATATCTAACACAATGCAAATGCTATATAGTTTTATACTGTACTGTTTAGAGAGTAATGCCAATAAATAAAAGTCTGGGAATCTAAAAACAAAAAGAAAAGAAAAATCCATACCATACTATATTTCATATCACCTGCATTTTCCTGCAGGAAGACAGTGGCATGCAAATTTCAGAATATTCTTATAATTTTCTTTATAAAATGGAATTATTACAATTGTCAGAGCAACCCAAATGCAGGTGGTTTATATGGTTTATATTGACACTCAAACTAAGGAGTTCCTGATGGGAAACATT